ATCCTGCAGTTAGCTTGTCATTCTCTTGTAGCCATCGTGAAGGTTTTGACCATTGTGTAGTATAAATTTGCTGTGATTCTTAGTTGTACAGTGCTTAAGTTTTAGCCACATGGCAAATTAAGACAAGCACAGGCACTCAGTTTGAGTGAAGAATCAAAACCCTCCGCACTGTCCACGCTGCCCTGTTCCTTCTGGGGTCTTGATCTCATCTTTTACTCTGCCTCTTGCAGAACCTCTGCAGTGCTGGTTCCCCCAGCCTAACTTTGTCCTGTCTTTTTGATTCTCCCCAACCCTGGTCAGGGGCCCAGGCAGGCCCCTTCTGCTGTCCTCCTGCTTGAGTCTTCTGGGATAGCGGGGATACAAGGAACTCAAGGATTTGTCTTGAAGCGGAGTGCAGCAGGTCTACTGTTTCCATTTGTCATATTTGAGGTGGTATTGGTGGAGGCCGGTGGAAATTACAGGGAGGCTCACCCCCTCCAGAAATCTCTCCCTCCCCCCAAATTGGTATTGCCACAGTCCTGGTGCTTTATTTCTTTGTATATCTGAACATGAATCTGAGGGGATGGTCAGGAAGTCAGGAAGAATGCAGAGAAAATCAGTTGGGGTGAGTCAAGAACAGGACTCAGGGATCCCAATTTCTACTTTCTAGAACTCTGAGCAGCAGTGCCTTCGGGCACAGAGCCCTAGACAGGTCCCTTTGCCTCTCTGAGCTTCAGCTTCCCATTCTGTGAGATGATAAGTTTCCATAAGCTAAGCACTTCCTAATTGGTGGTATTCAACCCCCTGGTGATCTGCTACGACAACCAGGGATTCATGTTAAGGAGGATAAACAGCATCTATTTCAATTGTGGTTATAAACAACAACCCCCAACAAATAAAATTAATTATTTAAATAGTTTCTCTGTATAAGTGAATAGTTGAGAGTCTCACTGCATTTCAAGCGAGAATGCAGGGTGAGAAACTGAGATTAGATGCCTCGTGATTGAGATCCTGCAGTTAGCTTGTCATTCTCTTGTAGCCATCGTGAAGGTTTTGACCATTGTGTAGTGTAAATTTGCTGTGATTCTTAGTTGTACATTGCTTAAGTTTTAGCCACATGGCAAATTGCGTGGTAAATCTCCTCTTACTTCGTCATTTAGAAACAAAATATAAATACTATCAAAACAAAGCATTTGTTTTAAAAGAGCAAATTCAAAGAATTCCAAATATCAGGTCAATAAAGCAACTTTAGTCTATTCTGATGCATAGTTAAATTCCGTCTACATTAAACTATATAAGTTTTGGGACAAAATACCACACGCTGAGATTTGGACTTATTTTCATACAAATCATGCCTCATCCCAGAGAACTAATTCAAAGTAAATTTAACTGCATGCACCTCAAGTTTCTGGGGGAAAAAACCCTTCTAATTTGTTTTCATACAAATGTTAAACCTGGGATTAACATGCATTTTAAATACCTTCAATATTATGCTGAACTTAAATAACACGTTTTGCTTAAAAAACTTAGCGGTCATTTATCATGGAAAAACGCACTAATTTACAAAAACTCCTAAAGTTCTTTTTGAGGTTATATATCATTTGTGAAATACACGCGTCCAGAATGTTTGGGAAATTTGTCGGACGCTTCGATGAAAAATGTCTCTCGTCCTTTCCAGCTGTGACTTTAGCAGAGTTCAGTTTTGGAGTTTGTGCCTGTACGCATGCACCTTGCGCAGCACCAGCCAGACGGTGCGTAGAGTCCTCCGAGCCTCCAGAGGGCACTAATGGTCTCGTTTTATTGCCGAGCATGCGCTGTAGTTCTGGTTTCTGGGGGCGTGGGGCCCGAGCGCGCCTGCGCGGCGGCAGGGCGGGGGCGGGGCCTGGGCTGTCAGCCGGCCGAAGAGGAGGAAGGAGAAGGCAACGTGCGGTGTGAGGGGCGGGACGGGCGGCCTGTAGGGGGTCGGGCTGGGGGAGGCCGGGCCATGCGGGCGGGCCGGGGCACGGGGCTGCCGGGGCCCGTGGTGGTTGCCTCCGCCGCGGTGCTGCTGCTGAGCTGCGTGGGGCCGGCGCGCGGCTCCGAGGACATCGTGGTGGGCTGCGGGGGCTTCGTCAAGTCGGACGTGGAGATCAACTACTCGCTCATCGAGGTGAGCGCCCGCCCCGCGGCCCGGCCTCGCGGTGTGACCCTGGGCCCGTCGCTCAGCCTCTATGGGCCGCTCCGGCCTCGCCGGTGACACCAGGCGCTTTCCACGAGCCCCACGTTCTAGAAGTCCTTTCCTCTTTAAAGACTGCTTTCTGCGGGCTCTTCACGCCCCCTGCCCAGTGGTTCTTATCGTGGGGTTAGCTACAGAGTCGGAGTGTCGGACCCCAGATTCTTCAAAACCCGAACTCCAGATTCCCAGGATCCATATCCAAGATCCCCGCAACCCATACCCCACATCCTCAAAGCCCAGTCTCCAACTTCCCTGGAACCCAGACCCCATTTCTTCAAAACTTAGACCTCACATACCCAAGAACTAGACCTCCTGAAACTCAGATCTCCCAAAACCTGGAGACCACAAATCTTATCTCCCAAACTCCACAACCTGGAACCCCGGGGGGATGGTTTTAAAGAGCATCGATTCCCATCCCATATATCCGGACCCAGTAGGTTAGTATTGGCATCTCTGGGACTAGGAGTCTGTATTTTTTTTTTTTTTTTTTGGCGGCTGGCCATTCAGGGGATACGAACCCTTGACCTTGGTGTTGGGAATCTGTATTTTTATCCCTCCCATCCCTTTTTCCTCTGAAAATGGAGAGTTGTCAGCTGCCCTGCTTGCCTTACTGAGTTATTGGAATTGCACTAGAAATTTGTGAAATTTTTTATTAAGTTGTAAAGCCCCATTAAGTGATTGTCAGCCCAGTGGGATTATGACCCAGAAAGCTTCTGTGAAGAAGAAGGGGGATGGGTGGGAGTAGAGGTAGGTCACTTGTCAGGGTAGATGGGAGGGGACGTGAGGTGGGGTAGGAGAGGGGCAGGGAAATGGAAGAGGCAAAGAACAGGTGTCTGTGAGGTGATTTGAGAGAAAACAAAGGAAGAGGCTGGGAGATGCCAAAGAGAAGGAACTGGGGAATAAGACCCTAAGGGCTGTCTGAAAACCTCTGAGCTGCTCCACTGCTGGCAGTGAAGGGTTGAACCATGGTGTTCTGCAAAGCTGAGGATTGGGGGAAGAGTAGGAAGTCAGTTGCAATCCCACTAGTTCTTTTTTTTTTTTTTTGTCTTTTTTTGTGTCCGGCAACGGATCGCAACCCTCAGTGTCGCGCCCGTACCGGACCGGGACCGGCAACGGGATCGCAACCCTAGGTGTTGCGCCCGCCCCTCGCTCAGCCAGTGAGCGGGAACCGGTCTGTATGCCGGCCCCCCACTAGTTCTTTGACCTGGCTTTGCTCCAAGTCCTAGTTCTTGTACCTGTAGGATGGCGTTGGGAGAGAAGCAGCAGAACTCAGCACTGTATGTTTCCTAAAGA